AATTTTTGAAACATCAACCGATTGCAAGAACGATACTTGCATATTTTTATGATCTATCGATGTTCGATTACGTAAATCCGAGCTGAACTGTTCACTACTGCTGAAGTGAATAACCATTCATCCATTACTGTAGAAGTGAATCAAACCTTGCCGTCTATGCTTCACAATTTTGAATTCTATTAAAAGTTTTAAAGGATGAACCGGACTCGATTACACATCAACACCAAATGCCGAAGGTCGCGCCTCCCGAAGAACTTTTGGATTACTCGGAAATCATCAAACAGACTTTGAAAGACGATCACCTATCGCCATCGATCAAATCAATGCTTAAATATAACTTCAAGGAAATCCCAACTGCATTCGTACGCGTTTTTGAGGTATGTGTAAACGTATGGATATGTTTTTGATAATTTCATCCAATTCTACTTTCTGGATTGATGAACCGGATTTCAGTATTTACGATCTGACAACTTTACGATATCTCACCCTCTTGATTGAAAACCCTCTTTCAGTAGGAGCATCCTTTCGAAAGGCTATGAGAAATATAGACTCATAGTCCGCTTAAATCCCCTAACCTAACCCGTTAAAACCGTTAAAAAATCCGCTTGATATAGTCCCCTTAAGTAAAATTGTCTCTTGAATAGATGTAAAAATTATGGACCCAGGAGCTTATATTCAAGAGAATGCAGTAAATAATATTTATTCGTTATTCATTTACTTATCCACAGAATAATTTTGCAGTTTCGTCCAGTGGATCGAGATATGTATCTGAAATGTTGCAAAGAAGATTGTGATGTTCAACCGAAAACAATGATGTGGCTGAGAGCAAAAGAGAACATTGGTAAAGCTTCTACTGTCACTTTCTAATTGCTTGAAGAATTCCGTTCCTCAGAAAGGATTGTTTAGAATGATGTGGATGAATGTGTTTCATTATTGATCTTCATTATGATCCTTGCTGTGTTATTATTTTGATGTTATTTTATTATTTTTATCATTATCACTGTTATTTTTATCACTGTTGTTAATGCCATTATAATATTATTAAAATCGTCGTTAATATTATTTTCATGATTACTAATATGATCGACGACAATTACTTGTTGTTGCTTGCTAGTTATTTCGTTCATTATTTTTGTCCACGTTGTTTCTGAATTCTCAAAGTATTATTTGTTTTGCAAGGCGATGATCCAAGATTGCATCAGTGCGTTGCTGCCTATATATCGGATTGTACGATGCTTGAAACGGCGATTAGACCACATTCAATGTGAGTTTCTATCTTTCATTCTTTCACGATTTTAAAGTAATCCATTGAAGATTCATAAAAGGATTGTCGAATGCAGTCACCATCAGTTCATCAATAGTCACAACTGTCCAAAGAAACAGAACTTGAACCATCAGAATTATCTATCGGAGAATTATCCATTTCATAGTTCAAACAAAGCGTTGCGATGATACTCACAATCAGTTGAGAATTTCAGAATAACGTAATCATCGAAATTCTTGTTTGAACCTCGTCTTATTCATGAAACACGTTTCGGAACTAAAAATGCTGAATTTTCAAGTCGTGGCTTCATACCGTCCATGGCATTCTCGTTGGATCACTGCATATGGATACACAATTCGAACTTTCGGGTTGACGACTGGATGCTCTATGAAAATATCAGTCCCATTGCACGTTAGTTCGTCACAAATATCAATTCATTCGTGTGGATTCAATATTGAGTTTTTT